CGCCTCTTCAACGGGATTTGCAGCGGCTCTCTGTCTTCCACCACCGATGCATCCGCTCAATCATGGGAGTGTCTCGCCAAGAATGCTGGGATGACCACATCACCAATCACCAACTACGTGTGAGGTGGGGTGATCCCGACACCATCCGCACGAAGGTGGAGCACCGCCGCCTTGAATGGCTCGGGCATGTTGCTCGGATGGAGGACCACCGGCTGCCGAAGCAAGTTCTCTTTGGCACGCTTCCGTCGCGTCGCCCAGCTCATGGCCCTCCTCGGCGCTGGAAGGATTGTATCATGTCTGACCTTCGTTCTCGCGGCCTTGAGGGGGAATGGCGAGCTGAATGCGAGTCGCGTTCCACCTGGCGCTCGGCGTACTCAGCACCGGTAGATGCCCAGCATACCCCTCCCGTCACCTGCTACACCTGCGACCGACAGTTTACACGCCCCAGTGATCGCGCACGCCACAAGTGTAAGGCTGAGCGTGCGAAGCCGGTTGCGGAGCAGAAAGGTGCATGCCAGTGTGGAGAGTGTGGCCGTTGGCTGAAGTCCCGTGGAGGTCTGGCAAGGCACAAGTGTACTTACCCCCAGTCAGCAGTCGTTGCGCCCCTGCCTGCTTCTCCGCTGTGCTGCGTCGCTCACTGCCAGGCTTGTGACCGCTGCTTTGCGTCTACACGTGGCCGCGCCCGTCATCGCTGCTCGCGGACTTGTAGTCGTCCGACCGTTCAGGACCGTCAGGGTTTCACGTGTGTTTGCGCCTGCTCCCGCCGATTTCGCTTACCGCATCACCTGGATCGTCACAGGGCTGTGTGCTCCTCCTCTCTCTCAGCTGCAGGTTATTTCCCAAAAGTCGGTCCACATGGAAAGTCCAAAAAGTTTCGATGTAAGATTTTTGTACAGGGACTCAGCAGTCTCAGGGAGTAAAAAAAACAAAAACAGTGTACCCTGTCATCAGGAACATTCTACTAGCACGTACAGTGGGGAACTACACAATAGCGAGAGTTCTCGATTGCCTAGAGTGCTCAACACCACAAGGATGGAGCATTAGTGGTGAACTATGTATTCTGGAATATCAGACTTTGCGATTGCAAGTAGTTGTACCCAGGGGCTAGGAGTAGGCACCGGCAGATTATGCCCGCGAAATCATGGAATTATGCTTTCATGGATTCTCGCATTATGCTCGCAAAATCCTCATAATTATGCTCTGGCACGCGGGGATACATATTCACTTTGTTGTGCTTATCATATGGGAGCCTCAAAGTTCGGAAAATTGTGCCTTTTTCGTACTTGCAAGCGGCCATAAGTACAACAAAATACATGAGTATCCCCATACCAAGGTGTCCATGCATACTAGAGATCAACCTGGAAAAGAGAAAACATTACTTCTTCTATTCATTAGTTGACTTCTTTTGCTTTGAAAGAGTTTTTCCTTACCTTTGAAAACTGTCATGTTCAACTGTCTTCGTAATCGTCATACTCGTCCAACCGATGTCACCCTAACCCTGCGAATTCTAATAATCAGCTCATCTCTCCCGTAGCTCCAGCTCTCCTTCCATCATTACCGAACATCAACTATACCTCAATTTGTTGAATTATTAGAGCAATGCTCATAGCCTGCACAGTCATACATGTAGCTGCTAAGATCCAGACGTCATGACTTCGTAACAAGCATAGTGTAGATCTACATGTACGCGGAGTTTTGCGGACTACCCATCACTATCTCGTCCGCCCCGGGATACCTGATAAAGGCTGATTCACTCGCATCTTCCGCTACAACTTGTACACGTAACATGTACTGTATCAGGGTGAGAAAGAACTTTGAGAAGACATAACGAGTTCGAGCACACAAACTGATGATGTATTGCCATGATTTCTACCCTGCTTTAAATTTCATTGAAAACACTATCTGCATGACCTCCGAAGTCCGAACCCTTTGCCATGCAGACCACCAGCACTGATCAGGTGCATTGTACACAATTGTGTAGCCTACATACTAGAACTGTGATACAATCATGCAGTTATGCTCCTACCTCCGAAAGGATGCCAAATTATGCTCCAAATTTTCAACCACCAAATTATGCCAATAATTCTGCCGGCATAATCCGCCGGTGCCTAGCTAGGAGATTATTTTTATTATTATTTATTACAACATCTCAAGACTCGGCGGAAACACCGGCCAATGTTACGAGAGTGGGTGATTGCCAACCACGGCGATAAAATAAATAGAAATGAGGGGAGGGAAAAAGAAAGAAAGAGTAGCAAAACGAACAGCAACAACAACTCCGTAAAGAAAGATAATGTCAAATAAAAACAGTGAAAAACACAGAAACGCAAAGGACATGTGGATAATGAGCTATGTATGTCGTAGTAAATAAGGGGCGGCACGGATCTTAAACAGGCGGAGTGAGGTCAGGTCCTTAACTTCTCTGGGTAGAGTGAGCCAAACAGAATAAGCAATAAAGAGAGGGGAGCGCAAAAGAGTGGATGAGTTACACTTAGGGAGTAAGAGTGAGTTTCTAGTTCTTAGAGAAGAGAACCAATTAAAACACATGAGATGAGGTGGGCACAACTCAAGCTTAATAGAATGGACAAGAGAAGCCAGGTGTGCACTGCGTCCATGTGATAACGGGGTTGTGTGAACGATTTTATAAAGGGCGGATGATGAGAGCATGCGGGGTTGACGGAGGAGAATTTTAAGTATTTTCTTGTGATGTATTTCAAGCTTTGCAGCAGCGGAAGAGGATAACCCAACCCAAGACGTATCTGCATAATGAAATATTGGGCGAAGGTAGGCTAAATAAAAAAGGAGATTGCAAGAAAGTGGGAGGTAGGAGCAGTGGGGGGGAGAGAATTCCTAAGGATTTACTTGATTTTTTACAGATATATTCGATGTGAGGTACCCAAGAGAGTGCAGAGTCAATCACAATGCCAAGGTGTTTGTGAGAAGACACTATGTCAATTGGATTTGGAAAGTTGGCATGGATGAGGGTTGTGAACTCCGGCTGGGGCGGGAAGAGCATGATTTTTTGTTTTTGATAGATTTGGGGACAACCTCCAGGACGACATCCAGGAAAGAACTTCCTGAATGCCAGCACGCAAGTTGTTTTTCAGGCCAGTGAGGGAAGCTGATGAGGGGAGAAGGGTCGTGTCGTCAGCAAACAGAGACGTTCCAGGGAAGACTGCAGGTAAGTCGTTTACGTAAATTATAAATAGTAGGGGACCAAGAATTGATCCTTGAGGAACGCCTGACAATACTGGCTCTGCAGCCGAGGATGTGCCAAGCACAGTTACGTACTGATAACGCCCAGAGAGATAAGATTTCAGCCAGGAGAGTGGTTGTTTGCGTACCCTGAATGCATGCTCGAGCTTTGCCAAAAGTCCTCGATGCCAGACGGTATCAAAAGCCTTGGCCAAGTCAAAGAAGCAAATGCCAGCAAGCGCTCTGTTATCCCTATGCTGGCAAACCTGCTGCACGATGCGGGTCAGTTGAAGGGAGGTGGAGTCGCCTTTACGAAACCCAGATTGTGCGGGACTCAGAAACGGCGAAACATGTCTGTATAAGTGGTCATAAAAGATGCGTTCACATACTTTGGACACGCAGGGAAGAAGAGAGATAGGGCGGTAGTTTGCAGGTTCGTGGCGGGAACCTTTCTTGAATACAGGTATGACTTTCGCTGTTTTCCATGCGGAAGGGAATATGCCCGTGGTAAATGACATGTTGAAAATATGGCACAAAGGGAATGCTATGGATGGTGCCAGGGCCTTGAGGACCCGGTTGGGGATGCCGTCAGGACCAGACGCCTTGCACGTCGGAAGCTTCTTCAGATGACGCCGGACAGTGGCAGTTGTGGTGATGACGGACGTGAAACAAGCTGAGGGCTCCGAGGGGGTGAGAATAGGGGGAATAGAGAGCAACGGGTCATCTGGCCGAGTCACAGAGGCAAACTGGGCGTTTAGTGCCGTAGCTTTGGCCAAAGGGTCAGCCGCCTGCTGAGTCCCTGTTGTGAGTGACGGAATTTCTCGTGATACGTTTCGAATTCTTGCTTATCTCACAAACTGGTGAAGCGATGGACGGTGTCTACCCCGCAAAGTAGTTTGCACTGAGCGGATATAAGCTCTGTACTTTGTCCGCGTCAGGGTTTTCACTATATTTCGCTGCTGTTGGTATGCTTGTTTGTTTTGTTGTGTTGGGTACTTCTTAAAAATGCTATAGAGATCATATTTCCACTTGATTGCTGTGCGGAGATGGGCATCAACCCAGGGTGGCTGACTGGGCCGTGGGCAGCGGTGAGAATACGGCTGCTTTCCGAATGGCCAGAGGTGCTTCTCAAGGGCACTGTTGAGAATGGAAGAAAAGTGCGAAAGCGCATCATTGACGTTGCTGGCACGCAGGTGCCAGCTCCAGTCAATATCAGAGAGCTCTGCATTCACACTATCCCAGACGGAAGATGGCACGGATTTAAAGTCATATTCCGGCTTTGCAGGAACATTGCTGAAGTGGCTTCGGGGTCCAGCACTGAAATGCACCCAGAGTGCAGGATTTTCCTTCCAAAAATCCTTAAATTTTCTGGGGGAGGACCCCCCCCCCCACCATGCCACCATTCAACAGGGCACTCGTCACTCGACCGCACTGCTCCATGCCCATGGGAGCTGCCTTCGGCCCTGTACTGCCATGTCCAATCAATCAGTGAGCGATGGCAGTGCCTCTTTGACGGACTGTCGCCACGGGACTCGAACCAGGCAGGGACCCAGCGACCTTCGCTAGCTATGCCGCCGATGCTCTAACTCAACTGTCTAAGTCTAACCGCTAAGCCATGGTGTAGTCGTCATCCAAGCAGAGACCGGTAAAGGCTGACGTAAAGACTCAGGAAACACAGACAACTGGCAGTCTGTATGACTGTACTGATATGATACATGACATTGTATGGATTGGCAAACAAAAAAACTCATACCTGAGTATCAGTGAATGATTCAAGATGATTCCATTTTAGGTTTAATATTCAGGACCGTGATACAGGTAGATATAACCAAGAAACTCTCTGTCGCACGGCATTCCAGTAGATCACCTGCTAGCGGTGTTCTTGTGAGTGACTACAAGTAGATCAGGTGGCTGGCCAGGCTGATCCACGCGGCGGATCCAGGAAAAAACGGCACAGTCCCCGGCCCCGTCATGAGCTCAGGCGCCGAAAAGCAGGAGTTGTTGAATGCACCAGATGAGGAGGACGATGATTTGTCGGACAACGGCGGCATTGCCAGCCGACCCCTGAACGTGAAAAGCCTCAACCCTCAAGACGAAGACCAGACAGATACAGGAGACGGGCTTGACGACATACAAATTGTGGATAGTGACGAAGCCGTCAGTGCTACAGGTGGCAAGCGTAAGCGATTTCGAGTGAAGTCCGCGAGGAGACAGTCGAACGCTAACCTGAGACGCATCCGAGTTCGGCGGGTATGTTGCGTACTTTTGGTCATTGCTGCATGCATTGTTGGTGCTATTGCTTACGCGGTCCACGGTCGGCAAGCTTCGGGTAAAGCATCCCCGAATCTAAACGGCGCAGTCCTGAAATCACCGGCTGACACAGCATCTTACAAAGTGTTCAAATTGGAAAATGGCATCAAAGTGTTGCTTATCTCGGACAATGCCACGCTCAATCTACCAATGGCCGTGTCAGTGAATGTCAATGCTGGCTTGTTCAATGAACCCGCAGAGTACCCAGGATTGGCTCATTTCCTTGAGCACATGCTGTTTTTTGGCGGCACTGTGAAATACCCAGAAGAGGATGGCTTCAATAAATACGTCACACTGAACGGAGGCGCTGCTAATGCACACACCAGCACTGTTTTTACCAATTACTTCTTTCACATCAATCAGAATTCTGGTGCAAAGGCATTGGACATGCTTGCACAGTTCTTCATCTCGCCAACACTAAGCCAAGATCTAGTGGCACGTGAGGTGAAGGCAGTGGACTCGGAATTCCGCAACTACCAATCTGATGATGACCGTCGCCAAATTCGTCTCCTCAGTCTTATGTCGGACCCGCAGTCACCGCTGTCTCGCACATTCCCTGGTTCTGCCCAGACACTCAACAAGCCGGATATTCTGACGGCGTTGCGCAAGTTCTTCAAGGAGCAGTACACGTCGGATAGACTCTCCGTTGCAGTCTGGAGCACTGACAAACTGGAGAACTTGGAACAGCTTGTCAGGCAGTCATTCTCGGCCATACCGAAAACAACATCTCCCGAGTTCATACCCATCAGGCCGTGTACAACGGGATACGGTGGCCAAATCGGCCGCTATACCAGACGCCATGGAAACAACACACTGACTATGCACTTTCAGGTGGACTCGAGCAAGGATTTGGAAAGGCGTCGATCAATACTCTTGATCGCTGTCTTACTGAGGAGTGAAGCAAGCGGGTCTGTACTGTCACGACTTCGCGAATTAGGCTGGGCCACGTCACTAGGTGTTGGCGACGAGTCCGTGATTGGCTGTTCAGTGATGTCTGTAGTTATCTACATGACTTTGCAGGGGAAAACCCACTATAACGAAATGATTGGCATGGTGTTCGATTACATACACCTCATTGAGACATCTGGTGTGAGCCAAGAGACTTGGAGAAATCTGAAATCCCTGGAGGAAATCAATTTCAGATTTAGCCGCCCGTTCCCTGACGCGGCATCTGCAATTCCCCTCCTGGCACAGCGATTGAGTAGGATTGAAACGCCAGCAGATTTGCTGTCTCCGCCATCTCGTGACATCTGGGATCCGGCGACAACGTTGAGTGTTGTGAAACGGCTGACACCAGACAACATTGTGGTGATCATTGGCTCATCAGAAGTAGAGCCTCTTACAGAACACGATTCTCTTTTTGGTCTCAGCTACTCGATTAGTGCACTGCCCAAGAGTCAGATGTTAAAATGGCAGCATTGGAAACGAGATCCGCATTTCTCAATTCCTGGACTTAATCCGTACGTCCCGGATATCAAGATGCTGACGGCGCTGCAGGATCAACCATCTATTCCCGCTCCAGAGCTATTGGTTAATGTTGCTGGCAAGAAGCTGTGGTGGTATCCTAACCCTGAGTTTCCACATGTTCCTTAAGTCTCCATCGACATTGCCCTATACCCGGACATTCACAGCTTCCAACAGGATGGTGTCGCGTTTCACGCTCATATGACCATGTGGTTGGCCATGGTAAACAAGGACAATGAGACGTTCAATGCCCAACTTGCTGGTTTCTCCTATCAACTAAGCCACGATGTGTCATCTCTACACCTGACACTCACTGGGTATGCTGATGTGAAGCCACTTCGTCTCTACCTCACCACCCTTCTGCAGAGCATCTTCAAGACATATAATGTACATCATTTCCGCAGTGTTAAGCATGAACAAATCCAGTTGCTATCCAAGGGTCGCGCAGTTACCAAAGAAAAGGACCTTATAATGCTCCGATACAACACCCGATACATCAGTCGTTCGGATCGGGGAGTGTTCCTACCACTACTATCAATGAGACACCATGACTTGTTGAATTTTGTTTCAGCCTTTACCGGTGCGATGACGACTGTTGGCTTCATTCATGGCAGCCTGAGTAGGGCCAAAGCAAAAGCTCTCTTCGGCGAGGTGTCGCACTTCCACCCAGACAGCACTCCTGTTGACCTGGACAAAGTCAGATATCAGCAGCTTCTATCATTGCAACCATCATCTCAGCCAGTGTATCATGCACAAGCACTAGAGCCTAATACCGCTGTCGTCTATGACATCATCCCCATGTGCGGGTCATGTGATATTGGTGCTGGCATCAATATCTCCACGTACGCAGGTGCAGGCTGCAGCCGAGAGTCCTTGCGTTGCAGTGTTCTTGCCTTGTTTCTCAATCAGCTGATTGATGATGCCTGCTTGTATCAGCTCAGGACAACGGAACAACTTGGCTATACTGTCTTCTGTAGAGTTGCCGAAAGCATCAACGAATACCAACTGGCAGCTTATGTCCAGAGTCCCAGATACAAAGTGGAATACATCGAACGCCGTATTCAGGCATTCCTTGCGTCATTTTCCGTCACTTTAAAGAAACGTTTGAATGCCCCTTCTTTGTGGGCACGACTACGCTCTTCGGTCCGCACTCTTTTGAGTCGCCAGGAGAAATCTTTCGAAGCCCTGACACGCCGCCTGAGGTCTGAAATATATCAAGCTCGTTTCCAGTTTGACATGAATGCACAACTCTTGTCAGAGCTGGAACATATCACCGACCCAATGTCAGTTGTCAACTTCTACAATGACATCTTGCAAAGTAAACGCCAGCTCTCCATTCAGATCTACAACAAGGAGGAGACATCACTGCATGCTGGTGATAATATTCTTGACGAATCGTCTCTACCAGCATGGCGCCGCTCTCACCGGACCTACGTACCTTTATCACGTGTTAGCTATGGTATATGAGTTACACAACATGCACTGACACACATTGTAACTCTATGTGTGTTGTGGCAGCAAAGTGATTCCCAGTGCCCCACTGAAACAGGCAGCCAGTCTTTTTCCCACGTTAAAATAGTACTTGTCTTGTCCATCATATCCGGCGCTCTTCATTTTTCTGTTCTTAATTTTCAATGAAGCATTCATGATAATTATTTTTCGATAAAACCTTTGTGATACTGGAAACACCCCTTGACATAGGCTTTGGTCTTTCTCTTTTGTATAAATAAATATTGAATTTTATCAATTCAGCTGGTCCTGTTGATTACGGTTCTGAAACTATTGTCGCCTTGCTGCCTGTTTAAAAATTCTTCACATTGCGTTTGTTCTTATGAAGCCTAGTTTTTATCTGCACATTGATTTTTACATTCCAAACGATGGTTTAGAGGGAGCCGGAGACTCATTGCTCTATGGGTACGAAATAATACAGTATACAGTATACACCAGGGAGTAGTAATGTTACTACTCCCTGGTGTATACTGTATACTGTATACAATACTGTACTTCAAGTAATAAGTGATGTCACCGACCCACTGTCAATGGTCAACTTCTACAATGACATCTTGCAAAGTAAACGCCAGCTCTCCATTCAGATCTATAACAAAGAGGAGACGTCACTGCATGTCGGTGATAATATTCTTGACCAATGGTCTCTACCATGCAGCATGGCGCCGCTCTCACCAAACCTATGTGCCTTTATCACGCGTTAGCTGCTATCCGCAACGTTACAGTCGACCTACCCTTATAACGAGTATTACTAGTGTTGCCACTTGGGACGAAGGTTGGACTGAGGTTCGAATGATCTTCGTTTTCGAATTGGCCTGATTGCCATGAACCTCGATTGCCATGAACCTCCAGAGTAACAGCACCTTACAAACTTGTCTAAGTCTGCATAATACATGTACATGTATGTTACTGTCCCATGATCTTCATGATCTTGGTGAATCCTTCCAATGATTATGTTCTCTGCAGCTGCATATTATCAAGAGTAGTAGTAGTAGTAGTAGTATTTATTATTTTACTAGGGCAATCCCCACAGACTGTGAGTCTTTTTACAGGGTACCCTAGGTAAGTGCGTGAAATAGAGCTAAATGAAGAAAGCCGTAAGTGCGTGAAATAGAGTAAAGAAAAAAGAAAACGGTGGCTGCACACTGTGCCATTATGTGTTGCAAAAGAGGCTGCGAAGAGTACTGTTGAACATTGCAAAGGAGGCTGCCTGGCGGCATGCTGCTGGAAGCGAATTCCACCTGTCAGCAGCCAGGTGAGGCAAAGCATAGAAACCGTACCGTGACGAAGCATTAGGCAGGGCTAAAGCCAGGGCGGACTGTCCCCTGGTCAAGGCATTGGTATGGTTGCTATTTGATCTAAGTACAAAAAGCTCGGCAAGTAGAGGGCTGCGGCGGCCATGCACACATTTATAGACAAGGCAAAATATCTTTAGGTTATAACGGAGTACATAACCCTGTTATGTACTCTTGATATTATGCATATAATCAGGTCTGCGAGGAGCCATTTAAAAGTTTAAAAATTGTCACAAGGATAAGTGCAGAAGCCAAACCACCGTAGGGAGGAGACATCGCGGTACACAGCACCGAAAACACCCAAGAGTGCACCTGGACTCGTAGGACGACCTCGTGTGACCGTGTACTACATCGGAAATGTTGACCCGGACTGCGATGCGGATTCAATAGCTGAACACTGCAAGGCACAAGGTGTATCTGTAGTACAAAGCGTCGTGTACACCTCCGTGCACTTTAGAACCGCCTCTGCTCGTATTACAGTCTTGGTCACGGACGCCAAGAAGGTCGCGGAAGAATCGTTCTGGCCTGACGAAGTTGGCCGTACTGTAAGGCGGTGTTTACATGAAGCGCTTCAACCCGGGTTGAGTTCGACCCGGGTCAGATTTCAACCCCCCATGTGCATAAAATGAATTGCGCGTTTACATGACGCATGAGGTATATTATGTATCAGATTGCAACGACCAGGAGGCCCTAAGTAGTGGCTGCAAATGACCGATATCCGTCACTTGCGGCTCTGCATCAGAGACCTGTAGCTGGCCTGAAGAGTTGTAAAATTACTCCTTCGTAGCCGGGCGAGTCAGAGCGAGGGCGATTCACGGCTTGGTCAAAAAACTGTCCGCCTGGAACGTAAACGTGGATCTGCCGACACAGTTCACCTGGTTCACACGCCTGACCTGGCATGCTGCCTTGCGTGAAAGGAACATTTTTCCGAAAGCAAGCTTCTTCTCCAAAATTCGAAATTTCCTTCCAAAAATGCCGTCGTCCTTGACCTCGAAGCTGAATGTTGTTAGGATAGAAGATTAGCGAAGATGTAGCCGACCCATTCTGGCAAGCCGTGTGCCCTCTGGATATGCAGTTGTTCGCCATGGTCAACAATCTTCTTCTCCTTCGTTCGTACTTTCACTTTCCTGACCACGAATACAAGCGGTACCCTTGCTCAGGTTAGTGTTTATTTGTCTGTCTATGCACATACATGTAATACAATGTACTGTTCGTGCTGCAGGCACTGGCCGATCATGGAAATAGAGGAAGCAGCCAGCTTTCTTTGAATTCTCGTGCTTTCAACAAAAAATATGTACACACTTTCCTTGGCTCCTCTTTCCCACCGCCACCATGCATGCACAATCGAGCTTGCTTTAATGCCCTGCAGTGCAGAATGCTCCCACCACCGCAACTACCACCGCCGCCACCACTACCAGCAGCAGCAGCACCACCACCACCACCACCACCACCACTGTGACCACCACCACCACCACCACTGTGACCACCACCACCACCACCACCACTGTGACCACCACCACCACCACCACCACCACCACCACCACCACCACCACCACCACCACCACCACCACCACCACCACCACCACCACCACCACCACCACCACCACCACCACCACCACCACCACCACCACCACCACCACCACCACCACCACCACCACCACCACCACCACCACCACCACCACCACCACCACCACCACACTACCATCACTATAGAAGCATTGTCGTGCACGGCACGTCTGCAAGAGAAAATAATAGTACGCCAGTGCTGTAATGCCCTGCAGTGCAGTATGCTCCCGCCACCACCACCACCACCACCACCACCACTATGGAAGCATTGTCACGCACTGTACATCGATCCACAAGAGAAAATATGCCAGTGACTTACTAGCACCTCCATGCTGCATGAGGACCTGGACACAGCACTGTTCCCTCTGCAGGAAAGGGGGCGGGGTGTATTTCATTGTCCCTGCTTGAAGTACTTCCTCCGCGTCATCGAAATTGTCGCAGTTTGACTTTTGATATAAAACGGGGTATTTACTCACCAGCACTCATACCAGAGGCAGGGAATGGGATATAGGCGATAGTCATCAGTATAGGGTGACGGTAAAGTTCTATTTTCTGTTATTGGAAGCTGGAATTTTTGAACTAGACGCACTTTCTTCGCTGATGTCGCTGCGATGGTAATTTCGACTTTGCGGAGATCAGTCAGGCGTTGCAGCCTGCACATTTCTCGTGCTTATGGCCATTCACTCAAGCCTCATCACTGTTTTACCTTAGCTGGGGTGAGAATGACTTCGTGGAACAAGTGGCAGCGCTTGGAGAAACATCGAGGGGTCAGCAAACTAAATGCCTGCAACAGCGATAAAATTTGTCGCTCTGGCTGAGACACTCAGTACATGATTGTACCTGCAAGAGCCGTGTAGACTCTACACGTAGTGCTAGTGATGCACGCGCAGGTGCCGTACCATGGTACACCAGTGATGCTGAAAAACAGGGCGCGCTGGACGCGATAGTACACTTACCTGAACTGCATGAGCTGTGACCAAACAGCTAAAATACATGGGCATGCCACGGCTAAAATAAGTTCATTTCAAGATCGAGGTGATTCCGCCGACGGTAATCAACCGACCTCGCAACGATCGTGTATTCTTACTAGGCTTCGTTGGTGGTGAAGTAGAAATCATCCAGAGCTAGCAGACGACAAGCACAGCAGCTCTTGTCCTGTGGAGAAAGTCAAAGCGTTTGAGATGAGGCGCGACCAACTTTCAACCTTCCTTGAAATATTTCGGAACGATATTTTTGCGTCCATTGACATCAGCGACGACGAGGACTTCATCTCTGCATGAAAACCCTCAGTCCAACTGTCCTGGAACGTTACTCTAGTCTTCAGACTATCATATTGTGTAATAAGTTTTGAATGGCTTAGCTTATGGAGTTGTCAGTAACAAGTGACAAGTCACTAGTCAAACTGCGACAATTTCGATGACGCGGAGGAAGTAATAATGACTACATGACAAGATGTCCAGCTAACTTTGCCAGTAACGAACGACCCTTGATCGGGCATGAGAAAAGTGTTGCTATTTGGGAGTTGGCGTCATTCACGGGGTTGAAAATATACGGCTATATTGTTACTAGGTCTGAAGATAGTCTCACTATCCGTGGGTTGTTATACCCGTGGTTGACTGCAGATACGTTTGGATTATTCTATGAGTATGTGAAGGGTATACGTTAAATATTTTCCCGAGGATATAGCACGAGGAAATTATGGGGAATGCAGTACATGTATAGAATGGTGCAATCCATTTCTCCCAGGGCACTTTCCCAAGACTCCTTCCAATATTCACTCTTGGCGCGACCCATGTGAACTGAGCGGGGTGTATCGTTGAATATACCCCTCTCAGAACGTCTACTGATTGGCTGAAATCGCCCAAATCATACCGTGCCATGGATCAATGCATGTCAGGGAGTCGTAGCACCCAAGGAAACAACACGAGATCATGATACCCAAAATGATGTACTGTAAAAGCAGAAATTTTCAGTGGTGTTTTATTTTCGGTAACTTTGGTGCCGACAATTTTTACCGAAAAAATGCACCGAAATTTTTCGGTACTACTTAGTAGTGCTAGCACCCTTACCTGGAAAGCGGGTATTACCGAAAATTTCCCTCCACCGAACCACCGATTTTGGAGAATTCCGAAAATATTACACCATCAAAAATGTCTGCTTTTACAGTACACAGATTGGATCCATGGAGATTCTACATGATCCGTGGTTTATGCAACCCGTGATCGCGGACTTGACCCACTGGCCCCAAGCATGGGTCAGTCAAGCGATGCTATATGCGAGCATGTATGTATCGCACTTGCCCCTAAGGCAGTAAGGGCAACTGTCACTGGCAGCCCGGGGTTGAACCCACATTATTAATTTTTGAAATTTTCTAGGGTGACACGAAAAGCTTCACGCACTGGGTGGTCACTCTCTATTCATGTATACCACTCTGCCAATAGTGCATGGAGCTCTCTTTTGAGCTGCCCAGCTGGCCCTCGTTATGATTTAGGCTGAAAGTCTACCGTGCCGTCTCCCTTATTATTATTTA